ACAGAAGATTGACGTAAAAGAAGTTTGGCGAAGCCAAATTTTCTTGGTAAAGGTTACAAAACGTGTTTAAAGGTGCAGCATTCAAACAAAGCGAAAAGATAAGATTGCGCCGAAGAACACTATGGTTACTCGTTTTTGGAATACAAACAAGTGGAAAAAACATTTGCTTCAAAACTGAACATTAGTGGAGGCTTGTCCAGCAGAAGTCAATGGGTTACCCGAATAGCGTAAGTAGAGTTGTTTCTTGGCTGAGAACGGTAAATGGAGAACCTGTGTCCAAAAAAAACAGCAAACAAGCCTGTTTGAGGCACTTGAGAAACAGTGCAGAACTCAAGTTGTCTGACTCTCAAGGACTACGACCTACTGAAATAAAACTGACTAGTAGGTGAAAATCTATAGATTCTACGTGTTGTGTTCAGCTGCAATTCGTATATGCTTTCGAGCAATAAATAACGCTTGATATACAGTAAAATTTTTGAGCTCCAGAAAGTATGCTTGTATACGCAGATCGTTTATATCCGTCATGAAGACGAGAGCTACTGCGGCGTTATAGAGGTCGTCTAATGAACATAGAACTGCCCTTTCTTTAATTGCATTTACAAACATAAGGAAAAACCGGCTGCCTCTTTAGGGTGAAAAAGATGATATCATTCCGCAAAGAGAAGAGTTTTGACGCCATAAATTTTTTTAAATGATCAAGTAAGGCTTGCGTTGTAAACTCAGTGACATCACTGAGTTGAAGAAACGCAGACAAAGATTGGTAAACGTCTGACGACATCGAATTCAGAATAAATAAAGCTGGTTTTCCTTTTCAGATGTTGAAAAATACTTGAAACTTTGATAAACAAGAAAGAATATCTTTATGGAGTCAAAAAATCCTGGAGAATGTGCAGTCATGTGAGGCGTCGACATAGCGCCTTTAAAATAAAACAAAGAAGAGGCAAAAAAATGATAATAATGGTCGATTGTTACGTTCTTATTCAACTTAAGCAGGAAATGAGCTCCAGAATTTATTAGAGAAGCCATGTGCAAGAAAGTAAAGCTTTACTAAGGTAAAAGAAAGCAAAAGGAAATTTGTAAGCGAACTTGAGAACTGAAGCAACAGATGGAGGCAAAAACACTCATGAAATAGAACATTTAGAATGGAACTAATAAGAACTCGCTTACACTCGCAAACAGTTCGTATATAAGCATTTCAGAGTGACCACAAATAGACTAGTGACCACCTCATCAAAGATTACAGTGATACTTGGGGTATAGATCTTGGGGTGCAAAATACGTAACACCTAACGTTAACACCCACGTAACACCTAACCAAATTTTGTATTTTTTTAATATTCAGTGGAAATCGAAATGTCGAGTAGGGGACAAAAAGTTTAATAAGATTTTGTAAAAAATTAAATTCTGAATTTTTTGGTTTATTGTTTCTTATTTTCTGCTTTAAACAACGGACTGATAAAACAGTATATAATAAGGGTTCAAAGTTGAAGTCTTCTAAATAGACATTCTAATTGCATTTTTTGTGAAGTCAGCGAGATACAAATGTAAGGAAGCCAGTAAAGTTGAAATTACAGCAAATTGTTCGTATGGTACACGATAAAAAGTTGGAAAATTGTTAATAATTGATTATTCAGTGGAAATGAAAATGTTGAGTAGAAAAAATTACGTGTTTAAAACTGCAAAAAAACATTCTATAAAGGTAGCATAGCAATTTAAGTTTGTTCTTAAATTTTATCTAAAAAAAGTGTTTCTGATAAAACCTAGAATGAGAGGAAAAACTAACAACGTCAAAAGATTAGAGAAAACTGAGAAACAGAATTAGATACATCTTATTAAGTATACAAAACAGAAGCATAGAATCGCTTATTAGTGCTAAAAACAACTGCCAACTACATCTGATAATACTTTGTAGTAACTGTTAGATAAAATTCGATGTGTTTAATTGGCATAAAAAAGAAGATTACAAGTGGCGTTGTGTATTTTGTTGTGCACTCTCTCTGGACCACCAAACCATTGTCAAACTGCTTCCTGCTTCTTGAACAAAGAGCAATCTTAGAAATACTAGATGCACTAAAGGCGGTTATGCTCAATAGCGTTCATTCTATCTTTTCGCAACTAAAATATTTTGAAAAATACTGAATTTTCTGGCTGAACTATAACCAATTTTATTCTTTAAGACTTTAGTTTTAAATAGTTGATCATTCTTCGAAATACTCTGTTTTCTTTTACCTATTTTGGCGTAACCGGTATAGCACACCTGCTCATCGCTGCTTGAAAAATCTCTCTAGCAGAAGCTGGTCACAAATGTAGGGAAATTGGTGGAATAATGAGAAAGTTAAATAGAACGTCATTTTTAATAAAAAATGAGTCTTCCGCCTCGAGAAAATCTAATAAGAAGCCTAAAAAACAAAAAGCGTGATCAAAAAGTTTTCTTTTCTATCATATTCCCAGACATTTAAAAAAACTCGTAACTTGAAATGTCGACTGGTGAGGTGCTAAAAGTATTTTGCTGTGTCTAGTCTGTAGTTTATCACACTCCGTCTGCAAGAATGAATACAAGAGCTCATGTGCTTAAGAGCACACTGGTTTGACACATGATTACTACTGCGAGATAAATAAAAAAAAACTTTCAAAAAAAAATCGGCATTCAGAATCAATCCAATTTAATACTTCTTAGTTTTATTTCTTTTCCCGAACAAAACCACGTTTCAATTTAGATACAAATAATCAATATTAAAGTTTACTTGCTTGTTTCTTTTAGAACAACAGTTATTTTCACGTAGTAGATAGTTGTTCAAGCTGTTTTTTTAAGGTAAAATTTTTGTTTTACACATATCAACTGAGAAAAACATTAAGACCAATAGCGATTACATTAACAATAATAATATTATATTAATAATAATAATAACAATAATAATAATCACAATTGTAATAATAATAATAATGACAATAAGAATAGTAACAATAATAGAAACAATAGAAACTATGATAACAACAAAAATAATGAAAGGAACACTAGAAGTTGGCTCTGCACACACTGTTACTCGTAGCATAAAATTTTTGTTTACTACGGTAAGGCTAAAATTACTGTGTTCTACTGGAAACAGCAACAGCTATGACGCTTTGATTTACCTGACCAAAGAAGACATTTTTCTGTTTACAAAGAATGCCCTTCAAAATTCCGCTTTTCTTATTGTAGCAGTGTAAATTCGTTTGATGACATTTAGAAAAATTAGCAGAAAAGCATGTATAATGTCAGCTAGAACATTTAAAAACGAAACTTCATTGTGGTAAACCTGGTAAACCCTTGTTGTTTCTTTATAGCTAATGATAGATAAGATGCATTTTGACAGTTTTCAAGAACTTCTGCTTTCTTCAACTACCTCCAATAACCGGTTTAACACTTTTAGTTAGTCAGTTCCGGCAAACAATTTCTGCACTTCAATTAGTATTTATAGTTTTCCTGGTTAGATTAGCTAACTGACAACTGTGTTTACAAAAGTGCATAAAAATTTTTGTTCATGCTAATAATTTACTGAAATCTAGCATGCTGTCATAACTTAATAACTCCGAATTTGCTGCTGAAACCAGAAAGACTTTTATGGTCTTTATTAGCGTAGTCTGAACCACAACAATTAATTCCGCAAACAAAAGTTTTTTTAAACTCTATTCTTTCAAAAAGCTTTAGATTACACTGCTTTGTTGATCACTTATCACTGTAAACTTTTTATTGATTTTACTCATTTCTTGATGTAAGCATGTTCCACTTATTTGAAGTTTTGTTCGTGTCGATCATCAAAAATGCTTTTTTTTTTTTGAAGTGAAGAAGCACACCAAAAAGAGATTTCAAATTTTTGACACGACAGTCACTGTAGAGGTCACAAAGACGAATTTGAAGAAATACTTCAAAATTAACAGTGTATCTGGTTTAGATCTTAAAACTGTCGGTGTCGGAGTAGGAGGGGATACCATACAGTTTGGTCATAAAAGAAATAACTATTTTTTAAGTAAGTGGTAAACTTAAAAAGGTATTTTTCTACAACGTTGTAATAAAAACTGTCTTGCAGACCGTGTTTCGTACTTTCAATTTTAGCTCTGGCTTTATTAATCTTTGGCTACATCATAAAATTATCGCTTGGCGTGAAGAAAGCGAAGAAATGATATTTGAGGTGAAGTAATATCACGTTGGCTAAAGTATTTGAAAAAGAAAATACAGTGTTGTCTACCTTTGGTACTTATGTCTGCTGAAGCATTTAAAAAAGAAACTACAATGTAGTTTATCTTTGATGACTGTTAACATTCAAAATCAGATAAACGCATTTCAACACTTCCCAAAAACCGTGCTTTTTCTTTTTGACTCTTATAACCGGTTAGACATCTTTTAGAGTGACAGTTCAAGGAAACAAATTTTTGCATTTCAACCTGCACTCTATGATTTTTCTGTTGAAATGGCCAACTGATAACCGTCATTATAAAAGTGCCTAAAGTTTTGTTTTGTTAGGTGTTTATTACAACTCGGTCTACTGGTATAACTTAAAGACTCTCACTCTGCTGCTAAAACTAGAAAATGTTTTGCGGCTTTCAGTAACATAATGTGAGCCACAACGATTAATCTCGCAAATGAAAGTTTTTCTTAACTCAATTTCTTCAGAAAACTTTAGGTTACACTGCTATGTTAATCACTTGCCTCTGTAAAATTTTAAATCATTTTAATTATCTCTCGATGTAAGCGTGCTCCGTCTATTTAAAATTTTGGTTGTATCGATCATTAAGAATGCTTTTTTTTAAATAAAGAAGCACACCAAAAAAGGGATGTTTTATCTGCCTAAATCTTTCTTATTTTCATGCTAAAAAGGGTTATTACATAAAAATATAAGATTTAGTTCTTTTATGTTTTAGCGAAGTAGTTAAAAAAGACGTTCTGAAACTGTTTCGGCTACTACGTTGTCTCCTATAAATTCTAAATTTTTTGAGGATAATTACAGGATTTCGACTGGAAAATGGCAGATGAGAGTATGGAAGCCGCAAACACGCAGACGTTCAAAGGGCCTATTTTTGGCACGACAGTTACTGTAGAAGTCGCAGAGAAGAAGTTGAAAGAGTACTTTAAAACCGGCAGTGTATTTGGTTCAAATTTTAAAATAGTTCGTATCGGAGTTGGGCAGGTATGACATGCAGTTAGACCAAAAAAGAAGTAATTTTTTTTCAAAAAGTAGTAAACTTAAGTAGGTATTTTTCTACCACACTGTAATAAAAAATGTTTTGCAGACTGTGTACTGTGCTTTCAATTTTAGCTCTGGCTTTTTTGATTTCTGGCTACTTTATGAAATTATCACTTAGCGTAAAAAAACCAATGAAATAGCGTTTGAGTTTTTGATTATGCATACTCTACTAGCTGTTAATTGCTAACTCTATTAATGAAAAGTATAGGTCAAAAAATTTTGTGCAGCTTATGGTCTTTCTAGCAGATGCTAAACTTGATTTTACATAAATAACACAAAATTATTTTGTTTCATAAAGACTACGTTGGGCGAAAGAAGAACAATGTTACGAAGAGGCAGTTTCAATAGTTTAAAAGCTATTTTACTGTATAGCATGATAATTGCAGTTTTGAGTAGATGTATTGGTATTTTTGATTCTTACTTCCGCTCTTAATGCCTCTAAATAGCTGAAGTTAAGGTCTTTTAGATTGTTCTTATCTCTATAGAGTCTATCAATTTATTTCAATTAAATGTCCAGCCTATTTTCAGTTTTATAAATTACCGCTTGTAATATACTTTTCTGTCAATACTCAAGTTCTTCCAAGAATTAATTATGTATAGAATCAAATCGTCAAATGAAAGAAGGTCTCTCATATTTGTCAGATATAAAGCTTAAAAGTCCTTTTGGGAAGCACCATTGGAGAGCAAGAGCAAAAATTTTATGTAATATGGTCGCTTACCAAGACTTTCTTGAGTTAACAATCTTTTACAAGTAAATTGTTCATTTTGAATTTTAGCTCTCGTACTACGATCTGTAAGTTTGAAAGAGTTTTGAAAGAGAAAGTATTTCACAAATAAAACTGATAAAATTCCGTAAAAGCTGTACAAGAGACGAGTAAAAATTTTTGTTCAAAATGCATACAATGCTCAAGAAAAGGTACAATTTACATTCAAAAGCGCAATAATACTTATTTACTGAGATACAATGCAATAACTATTCTTCAGATCTTTTTTCCGATGAAAAAAAGTTCTAGTTTTTAAAAAATCAAATTAAAACGCCGCATTTGAAAGTAGCATTCATAGAACTTTTATTGGCCATAACCATGCAATTGAATCTCTTAAAAATGAGCTTTTTACTGAATTATATTTAGGGGTTTATGTCTGTGGTAGCTAGAATCTACCCTGACTGGAAACCGGAGAACAAGGATCTTCCTAAAACTCTTATTGCAAAAATATCAAGTCTTGCAACTGTAGGTCAGGTAATAAACGATAAACGATATGCTAAAAAGGGAGGCATTTTTGGAGATGATTTGTCTATGCTTGATAAAATGGAGAGATGTCTTAGCGGAGTAAGTTGTATATATAAGTAAATATATATATATATATATATTGTATATATATAAGTAAATATATATA